GCAACTTACTCGTAAGCGGTAAGTGACTCGGAGGCGATGATGGGGCGATGAAGCTGAGCTAGTCAGGGGATATATTTCCGAAAAAAGCCTAGATTCGCCTTCATATCAAGTTATGCTTCAAACATGAAACAAACCTTTCGCTTCTGGCATGGAATACTAAAAAATCAAACTAAAAAAGGCATCGAATGATGATGGTCCACAGTTGTTCAGACACAAAAGGGCTCTAGACGAGCTAAATGTTGCTACATCGGTAAGTGTGAAATTAAAAACTAAAATTTACTAAATCTGCAAACTGGTGCACTGACCCTTTTTATGGAAGGTTCTCTTCGTGTTCTTGAGGTCTCCTGTTCTGTCTCTCGTCATTTTCTTCAGCTATCTTCTGCTCGTCATTGTTTCCTTCAATCTGCTCAGGTCCAGGGTTTCTGATTCCTTCACGCGAGACAAAATAGTTGAAAACCAATACTCCAATAATCCCACTTATAGCACCGCACACCAAACACGATAAAAGTTTTCTGAGGGACATTTCTCCGTCTGGGAAAAGATCTGTACGACTACACGCCTGGAACACTTTGAGCGGCTCTAAGCGGATCTGCTTTAATATTCGGGAAAGGAGTGGAAATTGGAACCCTCAATGCGATTCTAGAAATTTCCACTTTTTTGCGTGGGAGAAACTTTTTCAAATTTGTAACAGCTGGCATAGTTTGAAGCTACACTGAAGAAGTTACAATTCAAACAGCTTGTAACAGCTGGTTTTGGGGCTCCGTACTGCTTCCGGTTCTATTTTTGGGTTTGCAGAGGTTTGCACGTGCCGTAAGAATGATCACTCACTGGTGTCCAGCTCACGCTCATGCAGCTTCTTAGATGGAGCCTGCAGTCATTGATGCACGGGAGAGGAGGTACTGAAATGCCATGCGCTGCCTTCTACCAAAGAAGAAGAAACACAAATTCTAAACTGTTGCCTACAACGTTTTCTAAGACCATTTGTGATCGAAAGAGATGCCTAAAGTACGTCGTAGTCGGAAACCCCCGCCTGAAGGATGGGAATTGATTGAACCAACGCTTGACGAACTGGATCAGAAAATGCGCGAAGGTAGACAAACGAGATGAGTGATATACCATGCTTTCTCACTACAACGTTTGTTGGCTGATGTTTGTTTCTTTGTGAGATGATGTTAATCGTCTGTTTTACTCTTTGAAAAACTTCAGCTGAGACAGAACCTCATGAAGGAAAACGAAAAACGGAGTCCATGTGGCCAATATTTAGGTATTCATCAATCTCTAAGCGAAGTTTTAATTAGGTTGAAGTTTGGTCTATAATTTTCCAAAGGAAAATATAAATGGATTCCTACATCAGATCGTAACAGTTATGTGATAGATATGATACTCAGTTTTAAGTTAAATGATTACACATCTGTACATAATGATGGAATTTGTTACGGAGAGGGAAAAAAAACGTAATTCTTTATACAAGAAACGTTCATGTATTATGTCATTCTAAGAGTAATGAATAGCCATATAATTTCAGGAAAGTGTGAGTTAAATGTTGATGATTTAGTTTGATGTTTCTTCCTTGCATAGCACGTGCTATTAGAGCCATTACAAGTTTGCTAGTCGTAAAGGCTTACATCAAGGTGAAAACACACAAATCTCTCTTTTTGATGGTTTTCACATGCAGCTAGCGCAATCTTGACACATATGAGCACCTGTTAGGCCATCTAGATTGTACTTAAGATAATTGTGTTAACCTTTCTACCTTCAAGATTGCAATGTCAGTTGTCAATGTTTTGTTTCACTCTATGAAACTCCAGAAATTTATGGCTAATCAAATAATATTTTTCAATTTATATATTTGTATTTCTTTTCATCACCACTCTACTTAAAAATGTGAAGACAACATGATTAGAAAATTATTTACCGTTCACCACTGGTTCAGGGACTTTTTCTGCATGTGCATGTATTCCTGTATTAACCTCTTAACTCCTATGAGTGACCAAGACAGGGCTCGAAATTAGCACTCGCAAACTCGTGAAATGTGAGTGGTTTTTCAAAGTTGCAAGTCTAAAAAATATCCTCTAGCAAACATTTGCGAGTACCGGTATTTTTCCAGTAGAATTTCGATTAAAAAATTAACGCTGAAAATGGCTGCATTGAAAAGTTGCTAGTTAGGTTCCTTCCTTTGCTAGTAAAAAAAATCTTACTAGCAAAACTTTGCTAGTAGACAAAAAAGTTAAGTTCAAGCCCTGCAAGACAGAATTTCTCCTTACAATTTCAAGCAGACAAGGGTTTAGGATAAAGTTAATTATCAATTAGGAGATAGTTTTTGATTCAATACCAAATTCTCTGAACTTCATAAGAATCATATGGCAGACAGTAAGGAGAATTAATGATAAGATCTTGGGAGTGGAAGTTTTTCTCCAAGACATTTCTTGAACCTTTTTTTACTGATCCTAGAATCCATCACCAGAAGTCACGTTATGTTTATGAACTGTTCTACAGAAGGAAAGCAATTAGTAGAGGTATTATACATATTTTTATTATTATTTCAATTACGTTTACATCTCAAAATACAAATGGTTGGTAGACAGGTTGTGAATGGAAGCCAATGATAACCTTAACAAGATTGTTATATGAAAAATTTACAACTATCTTTTAAATATTTCCTCCTACTACTTTCAAGAGGATTATGTATTATTTTTATATTTTCTCGTTGAAGTAATTTTTTTTGTATGATTTTTGTAATCATAGAGTTATATGAATACTGTCTAAAAGAAGGATATGCTGACAAAAACCTGATTGCAAAGTGGAAGAAGCAAGGTTATGAAAACCTTTGCTGCCTTAGATGTATTCAATGTAGAGATACAAATTTTGGTACAAACTGTATCTGTCGTGTACCCAAAGCTAAACTGGAAGAGGTCAGTGCTTGTTTTTGTTACTTACTCTGAAAAGTTATATTGCCAAATGTGAGAGCAATCTTTGCAGTGATATACACCACAGTACTGCTCAGATATATGTTAACTGCAAAACTCACATAAAATGCACAAAAATCACATGCAAGTGCAAATTTAAAAAAGGGGGTGCGTCAAAAAATCACACATGTGTGCTTAAGCTTGATTTAACTGCCTCATTAGTAATGAAATTAAGGCCTGAAAAACATTTAGGCCTGAGTAGAATTTGAACCCATAACCCTCTCAGTCAAGATATATTGCATTCACAAATATGACCATTTATTAGCTTCTCCAAAGTAGAGGGAGTCCATGAGACTTGAGTTATGCCAATTTTTAATTTAACCCTCCATGTTTTGTGTTTTCAATTTGTAATTATTCTATCAGAGAGAGAGATGAATGTACACTTACTGTAATAATGATTTGGTATCCATATACATTAGATAAAAATAAATTCATATTTCCAAGAAAACACTGCAATTTTGCAGTGTTTGCACTGTTATTGTTAATTCAGTTTTTTCCCAGAAATCTTGCATGGTCCCAACCCAGTGGGAACACTTTTATATGTTTGCATATGTTTTAAACACTTTTTCTGAAAGATCTCTTGGTTTGAAGTTTATTTGGGGGTGCATTCCTTTGGGAGAATCTGCATCAGGATTTCTGATCTGTGGCATGTCTTTCGAGCAAGTCCATTTTCAGATCAGTGATTTATCAAATCCACTCTGGACAAGGATTTATTGGATCACTGATCTGCACAATCTGAAGATGAATTATTAGATCATTGATCCAATGCGTTCCTTTGGGCAAAGGATTTGAAATTAATCATTTTTCCCAGTAGTGCTCAATTTCAAACAAATAGGTACTTCTTATGTTGACTGGAAAGATTGCTGTCAATTGTTCCACAAATTCTGCACTAAACACAAAGTACACTAGATTTTGTAATGTTAAATTGATTGCCCACGAAGCAAAGGCATTCAGGGTTCCCACGTATCCATATTATAATCAATACTTGCTTCTGTAAGTCAATGGTAGGTCTTCCCCTATTCCTTAGTCCATGAGGTAGACCTGGGCAAGTAGCTAACAGGTATTCTAAACAGCTGACCGTAGTTCTTGAAATGTAAAAATGACTTCAAAAATCTGAAACACTGTAGAGTGGTTTGATACGTTCAAAATAATTCTCAATGCAGACATGGCTCTGCTGCTCCCTTATCAAAAGAAACAATAGAAATTCTTCATCTTCACAACTTATCGCTTCTTTTAGTATTGAATCATTGGAAAGTTCCTTTACTAACAAAACAACAGCTGCTCTATGCACAATGGCCATCTTTTTTTCATTTTTAAATTTAGCATGTGATTCTGCAGACACACTCTACAATTTTGCGCCTACTGTCATGGTAACTGATCCAATGAACTAAATCTCCGTTCCTTTGATGCACTGTGATCTGGGTGATCTTGGATCACAAATCCTAATCCAGATCCTCCCAAAGGAAGGCACCCTGAGACAAGCCTGTTACTCTCTATAGAAACTGAGCACATCAAAACCATATTAACCCTTTACACCCTAACATCATAATGCATATTCTCCATACTGTTCTCTATACATTACCTAGGTTCTAACAGGGAGAATTTGTAAAGCCATCAAGAGCTTTGTTAGTTCCTGATCATTTCTTTATTCTTATGACTTAATGTTTGATTCAAGGGTGATATTGTAAGGGGAAATTAGAACCTTGTCACTCTTAGAGATTAAGGGTGAAGATACATGTACAACATGAAGAAGCAAAATGTTTGCAGAAACATACCACTATACTTAAGTTTTAATGCGGTGCCTGTATTAACAATTGGACCCCAAAGAGTGATTAATATCCTGTTTCTCCTTGCAATATCACCCCTGAATCATACATTGAGGTTATGAGAATAAAGGAAATGATCACCAACTAAAGAAGCTCTTGATTAACAAACAAATTATCCTTGTTGGCACCTTAGGAAATAATAGTATGGAAAATATGCATGCCGATGATGAATGGAAGTGTTTATACAGCTATTTCAATTTACGTTGTCGGATCAAAGCTTCAAGGGTACAGGACAAGACCGAAAGGCGGTATGGGTAGATTAGAATTAATTTTAGGCTTTTGGGGTTGTCGGCGCGAGATGGACATGGAGGCTGAAAATACAATTAGTATTGCCTTGCGCGTCTTAACAAAGAGCAACAAGAACAGATTAAGATCCCATATTCCCCTTCGGTCTTGTCTTGTAGGTTTGAGGCTTTGATCCGACAACGTAAATTAAAATAGCTGTATATACATGATTGAAAGTACAGTAGAGTTGATGTGGTAGTGATAGAACTTAAAATATTGTTAAAATGTTATAAAGATTCTCTGGATGCTAACCTTGGTGATTGTGTTGCGCACACTACAAACATTGTAGACTTTTTAATCTGTTTGCACATGACTTTAAATAGCAAACCAAACCTTTGATCAGTGTCTAGATCTATAATGTTATGAACTATTCCAATAAACATTTCTTTCAGGGCAAGATTGTGGAGTGTGTTATATGTGGATGTCGTGGTTGTTCTGGTTGATGCCATGAGAGCAAGGCAGCAATTTGGATATGTACATTATGAGAAGATTTTGCATGGAAGCTATCAAAACTATCAACACTTTCCTTTGGTTTATTCCTGGATCCCTGAACTGTATAGAATTACCTTCCGGAAGATTTTTTAATCTGTGCATGGGAGGTTAAGAAACCAACGGAAATGAATGAAATCATGGGCCCAGCTGGTTTATTTGTTTATTTTATTGCTTATTAATTTTGTGCTCAGCTGATGCCATAATTCGGTTTCCTTTGGTTGAAAAAAAATCTCATCTAGCATACAAAGGATATTGGTGTACATAAACAAATCCTGTGCCAATCCCCTATAAAGGTTAGATTTGTTTGAGCAGAAGGGTCAGATTTTCTTGTCTGTATTCGTAATAAAAGTTTTTGGTAACAAGCTGGTTCTGTTTAAAAAATGACATTTGTGTGATAAACATTCTGACTTCATAGCAATTGTATCCTGTCACTGGTCACTTGAGATTATACATAGAGTAGCCACTGTTTTGGTTCGGCTACGGTGAGTCAATTTGTTTTATACTGGGCTCTATGAGCTGGCACGATTAGACAGATCCTGTCCTCTGATTGGTTACCAAGAAGGATATTTGGGCCTATCTTGATCCTAGGTAGTATCCGGCAGTCAATAACATTGTTATGCACCCATTATGTGTTTTGTTTAAACAGTACTCTCACTGTACATCCAGTGGTTTTGCCTGGGTCTGTTTCCCCCTAATACTAGTTACCCTCTTCCATAAATTCTTTTGCTCTAACAAAACCAATCTCCGTATTGTCTGCTATCTTCTCTTTCGCTCAGAAAATCAAATTTAATCCATCTTTTCGCTGTCGTCTCGGAGAACAAACTTCCGTTGGTCTTACCATCTATAAATAACTTCGGTGGAATTGTTCCAACGAAAGCCTAGACCAGAATCGTTCCTCTTTCTTTTCCTCATTTTCTCCTGTTGAAACCTGATAAAACTGGACAGCGGCAGCTACCTGAACTAAATAGCTCCCTGGTGGCAATCAGAAATTACAGGTCACTGCACCATGGAGTGCCATTTGTGTGCATTTCGATTGAGTGTGGTGAAAGCGATACCAATGATGTCTTTTCCTGTCCTGTCTTGAGCAAGGGAAAAGGGAAAAATTGTAAGTTTCCATGGGGAATCGAACCTCAAACATTTAAATTCCACGCTCCGATGCTCCACCACTGAGCCACACAGAATCTACGCCGGCGCGGAACGCCATCATTAGAATCAAATGTGACATGTATCCCGCGTGCAGCTAGGATTGGCAATGTCGAAAGCCTCGTGTGATTCCATCAAATAATAGAGATGGTAAATTTTAAGCTCGGGAGCAAAATAAAGATGGATGTGTGTTCGTCGTGTTTTCATCATTTTTGTTTATCTTATTCTCTGCATTTAAGCGCGCACAAGTTTCGAAAGGGCGAGTTTATCTTTGAGGTGAAGTCTTAATAAAGTCATGTCAACAAATTAACCACTTTTGACCGGAAGTTTTAGAAAAGACTGTCAGAGTGTTTTTAGCAAGGAAAGTAAACATGTCTAAAACTCGCTGTGATGAAAAACCGAACGAAAAAAAACTCAATTCTCGACCAGCTCGAGTAGTTTTGTCGGTGTGAGTCGTTTCATACCCAGCGTCGCTTGCATGTCTAAGTATTCACCCTGCGGTGCTGTCAGCGAGAATACATAAGTAGTTCATCACCTTGTGATAATCAGTCTGAACCTTTTTTTCGTGGTTTGCTTCGATCCCGGCTTCATAGAGCTCACGGATCGGTAGGTAACTCTATCATTTGTATCTTTGTTTTTTTTAGCTAGTAAACATTATTTCTGTTCCTTTCTGCGACTTTTTCGGTGACACTTATTTGTTGAAGAACACTTGATGCTAAACAAAAGGCGAAGAATCTTTCCTGCAGGAAGAAAGATAAAGCTGATTCCAGTGAGTGCTCTTGAAGGAAATTTGAAATCTTCTGGTCGTGGCTCGTAATTAAAAATAATGTGAGCTTTTCGCGGCGATTTCAGCGTAGGCGATCTAGTGTGTTTCACGCAATAACCGGACAGTGTTTGGAAATCTACCTCCGCATATAAAAATTACTTGAAGAATGAAAGTGTTGCAAATGTAAAGATTTAATCATGGAGCTTAACGTAAATCTGTCAGCATGAAATGACTGCGTTCTGAGAAATTTCCTTTGTGATAGACAGTACTTGCTAATTCAAAAGAATTCTGACTGATTTGTGAAGTTTTCGAAACACTGTTCTCCACGTATGTTGACTAAAAAGAACGAAAGTAAGGTAGTCCCAGGAAAATGGCAAGAGGCTAAATTATATAATTAATCATCTATTTACTTTTCTGAATTTTTGAAAATTTTCTATCGTCACACCCATAATCTTCCAAGACAGACTTCTTATCCAATAACCAGTTTTCCTTGACGAGAAACAGCTTTAATTTTTTGTCGATGACAAACACGTTTCTAGTGTTTGATTGAAGGTCTTCCAAATACCGAAACCCCTTGAGGCAAGACAAATCAACATCAAATTAAATTAAAATAGCAAAATTAGAAAAAAACCTCAGAAAAAAAAATTGCAAAGTTGGCCTAGAGCCCAACGGAAATAGATTATAGCTTGTAACCGCTTAAGTTAATGGGTTTCAGCCGATACAATTTTTTTTGTTATTATTATTAACCTCGGCGGCAGCTGGTTGTTCGTTTAGTTTTTTTTTTCGGGATTGTTAACCAGGCTGACAAAAACAAAATGGTAGCTGAGCCTTTGTCAAAACAAACTGGCGAACGAGCGTATCACAATTGGAGAGAAAGGTGTATAGAATTTTGTCAGCTCTGGGTGAGTCGGTGCTATGTTCTTGCTCATTTCTTCTATTTGATTTTGTTTTTTGTATATTCTCCATTTACTTTTGTCCTCGCTTGCCACGGCATTGGTGAGACAACAGGCTTACTTGAGATCAGCGTCACAGATGCTTTTTTACCGGTTACATTTCCTATATAGAGAGACCTTTGCCAAAGATTTGCAAAAATATCTTTGATTCTCTCCTTTTTTCTGCACCCATTCGGTTGTGGGTTGTGTTTCTTACTGATTAAAAAAATTAAAAAATTAATCTTCTGAAACACAAAAATAAAGCCGATTGATAAATACAAATAGAGCCATGGAATAAAACGGATAAGTAACAATTCTAGATTCGACTGTTGGTTTGTTGCATACAATTCGCAAATAATTGGACGGGCACTCTGTGCAAAAATTTTCCATAGAAATACGTTATACAACAGCAAAAAAAAGCTGGTCTAGGTTCAAAACCGGTTCTTTGGCGTTGATAATGTCTCACGGGGTATTCAGGAACTGAACAAAGTTCTTTACAATTAGCGGAATTATTTCGAAGGTTATGATCCTCGTCTTTCCTCGCATTTGTGCAGCCCACATTATTTTTGACAGTTACTTAAAAAGTTTGGACATGTATAAAAGTACAAGGTTTGTTTTTCACTTCTTTCGCGCGCTCAATTGTAAACATTTGCAATGAGTTACGATGGCCACACCTAGGATACTGATTCAAAGTTGGAGAGGTTTGACGCTTCTTGTTCGCAATTCGTTAACGATGGGTGTGATTTGTAATGTAATACTTTTATCAGGAGTCCATATTTGTGGAGATGAATCTCATGGATTAATATTCGTCAAGAGAGGCAAATACAAAAATTTTACAAGTAGATAGCTTTAAATGTGGGGAAAAATCGTAAGAACCTGCTGGTAAATGGGTAAGCTTGAAGCAAGAGTAATGAATTGCCTTTCTCAGTTTTAGATATTCCTCGAAATGAAAATGTTTTTTGCTAAAATTTTGCAAAATGTTTTTAAAACTTTGTTTTTCCGCAGTCAATCCCAATTAAATTCTGTTTCATTTGAGATATGATTGGTAATTCTAAAACAAGTAAATAGAGCAGATATTTAAACAAAATATTTCATGGATTTATTCTCTATCCGGAGAGTATCCGGAAATAACAAAGTTTCTTTGCAATATTATGACTGGAGAGATAATTATTGCACTGTCGTTTAACATGCAACTTGTGGGTGTGTATTTAACCTGGAGAGAAACTTAATCAAATAACCATATTGGATGTGATGTGGTTGATCAAGCAAAACTAAATAGGTATGTTCTTAATTTATCATTGCTTTTTGAAACAATCGTCGCTCTTCTCGGGTAGCACTGTATTTCTATATTATATTAGCTTGTACTGTCTGCGATGTTCTTTCTGGCTAAGTATCAACTTAAAAGTTTAGATGATTTTTTTTTCCTGTGAGAAGAAATAACAGGCCACACATGGGAAGTATTCAAACCGTCTCTTCTCACTTGAGTAAAAACATGCCACGCATACGCTTTACACTGTATTCATTGGTACGTGATATTATACCTTACGAAGTGCAATAAGCTAAAACTTTTGGACTTGATCTCTGTCGTCAATGATATTTCGCGTAAACCGGACCAAGAGCGAAGAGGAGGTAATGTTAGCCAGTCGAAAAGGGTAGACATTCCACCTCACAAGAATTTATCTCAACTCATATACTTTTTTTAGAAACATTTCAACCTTCCAGTGTTTACTGGAATAAATAATTTGTGGCGAGAGAAAGAACAACTATCGAAGAAGGTTTTAAAGGATGCTCGAATTTATGTCCGCAAGGCAGACTGAATGCTGATTTAACTTCTACATAATATGAATTATATTTTGATCAAGTTATTCGCCTCTAGACATTGTCTGAATCACTATCTAAAGCCACGATCGGACAGAATACTAAGATTTTAGTCCTTACACCACTTAACTTGGGAATTGCCCCAAAGACATCGATCCATTTTGTGATATATCGTATAAAAAACAATGTGTCTGGTCGTCAAACTTTACAGCAGGGAAGTGGAAAATTTAACAAATGTAACAGGTCACAAAAAGATAAGTTTCGAGTATTAAAGATCACAAAAAGAAATTTTATCTACAGGATGCACAAAAAATTTCAATGAATTGAACGAGTTCTCATGGACGAATCATGTAATGCCCGAAAAATATCAAATTTACATGGTTCATCCTTCACTAAATACGCAAGCAATTAGCTAAATCACTTATTGAAAGCTGCATCCATAAGTCAGCTGTTTTCGTCTGGGTTATACCATCACGTCAATTACGTCAGCTGTATTAATTAAAAAATAACCCGAGGTTACATTAGAAAACGCTACAACTTTCGCGAGCAAAGTACAGTATTGTGGTGCGCCTGGCCACTTATCTCTTCCGAATTTAATCTTATTTTCATTCCTGTGGCTTGAGTTTTATCTGCACATGACAACTTGGTCAATGTTCACATCAGCATGATAAAACTTTTTTTATCTTTTCTTTTAATTTTACGCACGCCTCTCGAAAAACTCTTCACGTGTTTTGTTAAGGTCAATGGCTGAGACTTTACAGCAGGGAAGTTGGCTGAGACTTATTAGATGAATGAAATCACCTGGCAGCACTACACTTAAAGTTTGGTGATGTTTTCGGAATGAAATGTCCTTCAAAATTCACTTATATGTGGCAAAGGGGAAAGCCGGCTCTTTACTAACTGTCCACGCCGGAAAATGATCGATATGCCGACTTGTAAATTGAGAGAAATAACTATGTATCCTCGTCTGCAATTGCTTAAATCGCAGTACACGCAAGGATTGCTGCTTTACTTGCTTAATTTGTAGCATCTCACAGTTTTAAAAGTTGCAACGATAATTTGGCGTTGCCAACTGGTACAGGGATCAAAACCTATCACTATCGAAAGTCAAAGGCCATTATAGTTATATACTGACAGTTCTTAGATTGTAATAGATTGTTGAGGTGTTTGGCAGCCGGAAATGTTTTGTCGTCGTTTTATTATTTCGTTTATCGATTCCTTAGCCGGCATCTTGCGTAGGAAATGATCAATAAGATGTAATTAATTTGCAAATTCCAAACGTCCGTGCTCATGAAGCAGGTACTTTCAAACAAGTCAATCAATTGAAAAGCTTATGACTGCATATAACGATACTTTTGAAAATAAGCATGGAAATTTTGGTACTCCTATGTAATAAAAGACTTCGACATCTACGGTGTTCGGGGAAGTTCGTAGAAAGGAAACTGTTCCTTGTAACGTCAAAGTGCCAGCATGAAAAAAACTTGAAAGTTATTACGACAAAAAAAAGTCACGATTATCGTTCGCTTTTACCGCTTTTAAATAGAGAGAAAATTTATTTTCGAAGTGAACTTTTGAAATTAACAATCGAGATAATGATTATTAAGATGCGAAAAAAATAAATAAATAAAAAAAAGCAGATGATGAACATATTGCATTTTCCGTGGTTTGTTTCTCCCTTCCGGATTTTTCAAATATTATCTTGCCATAATTAGTTTTCCTAATTTAGTAATTACCTCATTCTTTAGTCCTACAAGAATATCATTCAAAAAACAGAAAAAAATAATTTCAAAAAGAGAATAGCTGTCAGGCGTATTGTAAAAATACAAAGCCTGATTTTGCCGAAAGGAAAAGACTCACTCCACCTTTTATTCAACGCTCTCTTTGTCCAAAGTCACATCCGCAATAGTTATCAATAACCGTAATCAGCAGATATAAACAGACCAGTGACATGGCAATTCTCACTTCTCAGAGCTTAAAGTCGGCGACGTCAGGCGGTTTAGCCGCTTTACGTTTTTCCAATCTAATTCAGTGTCACAAGCCTTCTTTAAGGCGGTGTGCTCTCAACTCTTAAGGAAACCGCAGAGAGGTAAGTTTTTTCCATGCATGAAAACACAACAAACTACTGAGCAGAATGTTCTACCTTTCCGCCTTTCTTCTCACAAGAAAAATCAAACTATGGAAAAGAGCCTTTTCACTCAAAGAATTCGATGTTTTATTTTCGAATGTGATTTTTTTAAAGTGTTAATATCTCGTCGCCTGAAGTTACTCTTCAAATATTCGCCCTAACTAATTATCCGTCATAAGCTGTGATAGTTGCGGCAGGAAAAATGTGACCCTTTGAAATGATTGGATGAGGTTGGCCACGTGATAGGTCAATACTCTTCGAATACCGAGCCACAATATCGAGGGAGTAGTAATTAGTGATCCGAAAAGAGTCTTATATCAAGCGGAAAATTGCGCTCTTAACAGTAGACAAATATTTCTTTTTCTAAATGCCGGCTTGGCGCTTACGGAGTTAAAGCTTGTGACTTGGCAACAATTATCACCAACTGATCATAAATAGACACTCTTCCCAGAAAACTATGTATCAAGTAAGTATGAGATAAAATTTTGGCGAAGCTTGGCTGCTAAAACCCGCAATCCATCTTCAAGGTTAGTGTGCAGAAGCAAATATTGTAGTAGTTATGAATTTTCTAGCAGTTCTGTGACACTGAGATGTGAAACGTAATGATAAGAAATTCAACGATGACTCAGGGGCTTTGACGGAGATAAGATCTGTTATCATACACGTGTAAGGAAAAGTGAGTATCCCTAGGGAAGAGTAAAGCCCAAGTTTGCCTTATCGCTTCGAGTGATTAACTTTATTGGCGACTTAATCATGATGAGTGGTGTTTTCGTGGCGCAAACAAAGTTTTACAAACATTGTTAAGATATGTCATAATTGTATAGAGTGTAGTCGATTCACACTTAGGGTATACGTAGTATGGTAGTACCCATAGTGAAGAAGAATGAACAGTGAACTGGAAATATTGACTTTAAGCGAATAGTTCTCGGCAACTTTCTACGACAAAACTGTAACAAGTTCTGTTGGAGTTGAGGCTTTGAATAATAGGGTTATCATTAGGAAAAATTATAGACATAAAGGAAGAATGTTTACACTCCAGTCGAGAATCAAAAGCTCTACTAGTCGGTATTGAAAACCTTGTGCGCAAACGTTCAAAACCATCAACTGTACTGCATATGGCTTTGTAAACTGTAAGAAATATGAGAACATAGCTAATTCCTAGACGTTTTCCAACTAGTGTGATAATATCAAATGATATTAGTCTTGCACCAAGTAATGTTTCAAGTTCTTCGGCTCTCCGTGTTAGAGCACTTTGAGCAGAAAAATATCTGGAACATTTGAATGGTGCGTTGCAGAAAATTTGTGTATAAGGTCTTAATTAGTATCTTTAATACTTTTAACTTTAATAGTTATATGCATTAGTCTTAATTATGAATCGCCTTTGAGACGACAAGTTAATAAAATGATAGACTGAAAAAGTCGTCTAGTTATAGTTCTTGAACAGTTTTCTTCTCGATCGAAAATAGCAGAACGAGAGAATATTTAAACAATTTCGGTTTAGCTCTAATTTGACAATAATCTTTTATTAAGATATATATAAATATCAGTTTTTAAAAATAATAAAGGCATGTTTTCCTTTTAGAAGTTTACCCTGCTGTTCCTATTGACAAACATGGCCGGTTACAACCGGTGCCCTTATTGTTTTCGCGCAGTGGAAAATTTCAAATCTCCTTCATAACTTATTTTCTCTAAAATATAGTAGATATGAAATAAGGTGGAATAACCGCTCCTTCATGTGTTCGCAATTTATTTAATACTATTTAGCCTTTGTTAAAAAACACGCATAAGGTATTTATTGGTTGATAGTTTTCATGACAAACAGCACAGGTCACATTTTTTTTAAGTTGAATATGTCTCGACAATTCTCAGTTCTGAAATTAGCACTTTCTAGCATGTCTTTTTCGGTGCACGCTTGAGTAATTTCGTAAATGTAATTACATTGCGGTTTTTACGGGGAACACGCAAGGCGTTTTTTTAAAAATATGATTTCCAACGAGTTTAGGAGGAAATCAGCTACACAATCTTGACTTAAATCGCAGATTTGTTCATGCTAGCAAAGCAACTTTTTTTTCTTTTTTTTCCCTATCTTAGGGGTAAACATTTTTTTAACAAAAACATATTGTTTCGAAAGGGTTTTTTCGTTCACTTTCAAATCTTTTTCGGACGTGGGTTATTTACATTCATGACCGCAATTGTGTTTCATTTTACGGTATTAAAATATAAACAGTTGTTTCGGCTGAATCAACATGAACTGTTTCATTAGCAAAGGTGATAATTTTCTAAAGGAGCTTTGGTGCAGCGTCGGTGGGGAGTATCACATGGTAATTTAGTTTTACCTGCTGAGTTCATAACTTAATTTGACCACCGTAAAGGCTGTTTCTTAAGCTGAAGTTTCAACTGTTAGCCCTTCGTTTGAGCGAAGTGTAAGTGGTAGCAGCCTCGGAAAATCGCTTCTAACACTAGTTTCGGTTACGTCTGACGTGTTTCGCTTCCTTTCCTGCCAATCCAAATACAACTGAAAAATGTTAAACCAAAATTGCTCATCTTCTCAACAAACTTTATTTGTTGAGACTTAATTCAGAGTCGCCCTTAAGTCTAAAGGCTTTTGAAAATCTTCAAACACAGGAAAAAAAGAGAGAGAATAGAGAATATAGGGGAATATTTTAAAGAGAACTATTCATTGAAGTGACAAAGGCAAGGAAGTGTTCAAGAACCGATTTCCTAGGTTTCGTATCAGTCTTTCTATTGATGCATGTATACAACACTCTCTTCATTTAACATTCTTTAAAATTGTAGATTTAATGGGTAAAACCATTTTTGCTATAACTCTCACCCTTTTCAGTTGGCGACGACGGTAGTTAAATTAGGTTGAGGTAGCATGAAAGTTCCGTGAAATAATAACTATGCTTAAACCTGTCTCTTTGAAAACATAATCACCCAAGTGGAATGCTGGCGCCCGACGGCTGAGTCTTCTAGACATATTAAATTTGATGATATTGATTTAGGGCCGATTGAAAGGCGACTTGTGTTTTGATAATATCACTTCCACAAGAAGGTGCCATTCCTTTTTAACTGAAACTTCTGAAGTGTTTGTCCTACAATTTAACTCATTGGCTAAACGTCAAGTGTATTTCTCCAAAAACAAAGAGCGTCTTGACGAGAATGTGTGATTTATAAGTTATTCTATTCACTTTCTATGACCGGCCAGTAACGAACCTGTAATTTTTTCATTTTCAATAGTACCGTCTTTCAGAAACAAGTCATAATTCACTGACGCTTACTGCGATTCAGGGCTGAAAAACAAAGTTTACAAAGTCAGGTATAATACCCAGGCTCTTCGCGTTGCTAGGATATGCAGGAAAAACAACTTCGAGAAGGCTTGAAAGCGACGTGAGCCCATCATTATCTATTCCATCATCCGCGTCAGAAAACTCGCAGCAAGAAGTTTCCTACTAAGATTTGCTTTAAATGCGCCAGTTGTTTAACAGGTAAGAAGGGATTTCTGAACGTTTTCATCCCTCTAATCCCAAGTTCTGTTGAACCGCAACTGTCTCATCAGAAACGAATATATTTATGTGTTGACTGCTCTTAAGAATTTGGTGTTGTTTACAGATATTTCCTTGTTGATTATTTTCTAACTTCTCACCACTTATACGTTTGTAAGTGTCTCAAAATGGTACGAAGAATTCAACGCACTATACTTTTGAAAGCGGAAGGCGGCAGGAAAATCATTAATATTTCAGTTTCGAAGGGGAAAAGTTAGTGAATAAAAAGTTTGATACGACCTCTTTTCGACGGAGCTTTGTTTCAGGAACGTGCCATCTTAAATGAGATCAATTTACCAATCATGCATCTTCCGTAATTTCATCGAGTGATTCATTATCATTGTGTTGATAGCTTTTATAAGTTATTATTTAGCGTTTTTAGCTGTCTAATCCCTTCGCAGATCGTATTTGTAACCTGCATTTGTTTAGGAAGCTGACTCATTTTGAGAGGCTATAATTCGAAATAAACGCCGGAACACTATTTTTAAACTTAAGCCAATTACTCTGTCCGAAAGAAATACGAAGTGATTTGAAAAATTTGTGGACTCACACCACGAGAGTTTTATTGTTTGTTGTTTATTTGCTTATTTTGCCATTTTTCAATCATAAGACATCAGTAGAAATAAAAAGAATTACACATACGCTAATATAATATAATATAACTGAAAATTTAACACGTGGCGAGGAAACCTGTAAAGAAACCAATAAGCTTATGCGAGTTGCTGGCTCCTCATATTTTACAAAAGTGAGGCATCAGTTATAAGGCATGATCTTAGTTTAAAAGGAAAGAACACACTCATAAACAACAACAAAATAGCAGGTCCTGAAACAAACATATACTTAAGCAGCTTGAGAGGAGTGAGAAAAATATGAGGAAGAGGGGATTAGTAATTAGGAGTAATGTTCGCAATTTATTTTTAAACAGGGAAATTGTGCCATCATTTTGGACTTTTATATTCAGAGAATTGAAAAATTAAGGTCCTTGGAAATATAACGCAAACTGTCTGATATTTGTTTCTGCAAGAAGGCATGTAAAAGGAATTGCATTGTCTGGTGTAATGGCAATAAATGCCACTTGAAAACGAAAATAATCTTTCAAGAGCATATTTGGAAAACAGTTGGTATGCAAAAAGGCATGCTTCGGAAACAGATGTGACAAATTTCCTAAAAGTGTTAAAAAGATATCCAATTTAGAAACGGCCCCCCACCTATGGTCCTGTTTGCCTCGGTGCCATCGAACTTAGCCTCGTTCTCAACAGGCTATGCAACTTTGATTGTGGTAGCCAATCAGGTTGCAATAATTCTTCCAGCTTTGCAAATTCAGCGTTTGAGGTTAAATAGTTATCTTCTTGTATGCGAAGATAAAAGATAGGGAAATAGTAAGTCTTCTCCATCTGAAACCATCCTCGATCGTCCTTTGTTGGATCATTCCTTGGTGTTTTTTTGTCTACATGATTTCAGTCTGTTCAAGAGAAATACTCAGTATTGAAGCGAAAACGACTCAAAATTCTGTGATTAAACTCCCTCGCATTTCTCACGAAGAACTTTTAAAACGATTCAAAATTATTTTTTAATGGTCTGCCATGAGGCTGCAGGATTAAAGAGGTTAAGTCTATGTCTTAATTAATACGGCTTTTTGTGGTCATAATCTGTTTAGCCCGACTTGCGTACGTGTGAGGGACACTGACGCAAACTTATCTGGGGAAAATTTTAAATGACATCAAAACGAGAAGAGGAAAAATTGCTTTTTAAAGTTTTGTAAATATTGACAAATTGGCATATCGAGGATGAAGCGGTAATTTTCTATTTATAAGTAAGAACCTTGTCACAATCGACCTTTGAAGTGATGATAAATTTTTGCTTTATCAGCGCTGTTTCAGTGGCATGATATCGCGCCTTTACGTAAGCAATGTTTAAACTGTAAAACAAAATTCTCTTTGTACATGCCGGCGTGAAAAACTAGATGAGTTATGCCCAAAAATATAAAATAAGTATATTATTCTTTTCATTAAAACTGAGTCGAAAAAAATTTTTTTTAGATATGCGGTTCCCTAAGTCAAAACGAATAAATAAATTTTCTCTCTCGCCGACATTATTGACAACGGTAACAAAACAGACCTCTTAGAGGTTTTACATGTAATGCACACGATGACTTTTGAAAGGAAGTCTATTTTATACACTGGTACGTCGTTACGTTACGCTAAGATTTTTTAAACCACTTTTAACATTATCTCAGATATCTTCATTTCTTTGGGGTTTTCTTTCATAATATATGTTTTGTCGCTTTCACGAATGTGTGCCCTAGTTATAATTGAACCGGTGTCGAGGTTGCCTTTCAAAATTTCGCAGTCAACAGATTTCAAAGCCCGAAGGCACGGAATAGAGAATCTCTTAAAAGTGGCATTTTATTTATCTTTTTGGCGTCATTTTTCTTGTTATGCCCTTTGCAACCTTTTTTATTTCTGCCCTGTTCGAACTCAAAGATGTTCAAGAGTTGTTTTCGAAATCATAAAGAGTGTATCCTTAATTTCGCGGAGCGCGAAAGAGTTAAAAATTAATTCAAGTAACACTACAGAAAACAGAAGTCGTTAGAAACAATGATGATTACTTGTTTCAGAAAGTCATAGCGATAATTGGAACGGCGAGGTTGAAATAGGGTGACAAATTGATCACGACAGGTTTGAAAGATAGAGCTGTACTTGGCTCAACTCTAATCATGCGCTTCGAGAAATATGACAGCTTTCTGATGTCTTATTCGTGACAAGAATGTTTTGGTTTGTCTCTTGGACAGGATAAAACTCGGATCCTACTAACTAAGAATGAACAGGCTGCCAATAGCCGTATTAAAAAAACAAATTGTTATCCCATATATTAATTTTGATCTGTAGGATTCTTCTCTTTTTAATAACGAAGGAAACCGTAATGATTTCTAATTTCCCATACCTAGTTGGATCTCGTAATTTGCTGATATCTTCCGTTTGAGCGCGTTTGAGTTATAAACAGTCTTTGAAAGACCTCCAATTGTTATATCGTGTTCCGTTCCATAAAAATTCACGTGAGCAGAGGTACAATTGAAGAGCTATCCGCCTGATCAGTTCAGAGAGATTCACACAAGATATTTCAAGCTTACGAAAACCACATACTGGTAAAGCATTTCAGTGTAGTTCTTAGTTAAATACAACAGTTTCCTAAGATTCATGACACAGTTCGAGAAGGGATTCTACATGTGCACGCGAACAGAGAAAGCAACAAAGTGAGGTCTGTGATAATATGTTCCGCGTTAGAAAGAAATTCGCCGTTCAGTGTATTTTCAAGTTATTTTTGACCAAGAATTGTTAAAACAAATCAGTGGTAGATCGGACGCTTTGAATTCATTAGTTATTGGTGAAATGCGTGTTTTTCGCATAACCCTTAGCAAACTCGGTCAATCTTTAGCGTTATGAGTAAAACAGTTAAGGTTTGCAGATCTAGAAGCTCTTGGAGAAAATTATTCAGAAGAAAACGATCTTCTACAGTTGAACAACTTTAATAAGAGTCAGCAATTAGACTGTTTAATAATTTTCATTATTATTCCTTTTTCAGCAATTTCGTAAACTTGATTCTTGATAAAAAAAAAAAAAAAATTCGGAATTCGCTGCATAGTGGCGGATGGAAAGGACATCAACCCGAGCCGTGAACAGAACTTCAAGTGTTGTTAAGATATATACACGGGATAAATATTGTCCCTATTTCCGCCGCCTCTACCGAAATAGAGCGTTCACTGAAGCGTTACCTTAATCGACAGCTGATGCTGAATTGCTTAAATATTGCAAGAACTTTACGCCAGCTTGAATCGTCTCGAACTCCATACCACTGAATTCAGCGTATGAGGCTACGATGATTGTTGTAACTTTTTTGGTTTTTTGTCCTCATGTAAATATGATTATCAGGAAAGTTAAAAAACGAATCGTCCCTTAAGTCCATAGCTACCACTTCCTTGAAGCGGAGGAAATGGGAGCTATCGTTTCTCTAACGGCAGTTTCCACTAGTAATGCGAAGCAACTTTAAAATATACGGCGCGATTTTGCAGTTTAACTGCATGTTTTCGATGTCATCAATCGCCTCGGTCTCTTTCGCTATAGCGTAAGTGTTTGTCCAAACATGAATTTGTTTGCCACTTGCTCTCGTCATCACAGCAGGACAAAACATGGGCTTGAAAGTGGATTGACCAATCAGATGATGCGTACCATGTAAAGTTCGTAAGAACGCAAGTTGATCAAGTTGACCGCTCTTATGTGATGTCGTCGAACGTGATTGCAAGTTATTTTACTAATATGTAAAGCGGCTCTTTTGTGGACTTTTAATAACTTATCGATTTTAATGCAACAGAGTAAACTGTACCAGAAAATTTAATATTTCAGGATATCGCAGCTGTACAAAAATAACCAAAAAGAAAATAGCTGATTATTATCAGCAATTTTTCTTTACCAAGCTGAAAGAAAACATGTGTTGTACGTGATCCCAGAGGAATAAATCTTAGCTCTGTTTTTGTGTTGGTGTGATGACAAAATATTTCACTGAGCAAAACTGACTGAAGACAAAACTGAAGACAAAATTGGAAGCTGAAGAAAGAAACGAAAAAATATCGGTAGGCAAGCAGAAAAGTAAGTTTTTTGAGTGAGATTTTCAAATTGAGCCAAACTAACTGAAATTAGGACACAGGCTAGATTAAAACCCTGCTTGCTGAGCACTGAATTCTTGGTTTTAGGTTTTTTCCTCGTTAGAATTTTTGTTCCTATGATTTCAACGTTGTAAGCGATCTTTTCATAATGACTGGCAAATAATTTTCACATCAAACGCTGAAAAATCTGCCGCGATTCATTGTCATTGTGTTAAGTTTGGGGAAAATATAAAATACATCCTTCAGGTTTATCATTGAAATAATTTTAACGGAGTCCTCTGACATATCACCAGAACATCGTGTCAACTAGTACCTCGTATTTTAAAGTCACGTCTAGAAGTCATTAACATTTAACTTCATAAACCAGATTACATCGCTAACCACCTCGGTTTCATCTTTATGCAGGTGAGCATTGAGGAGAAATATGTATACTGGCTTTGCAATCTTCTTCTCTATATTGATATTTGTTAACCTGGTGGGAAATACCCTGGTGATTCTCGCTGTTAGCCTAAACAAGGCCATGAGATCTCCAATCAACTATTTGCTGATCAACTTAGCAACCGCTGACATGATTGTGGCGCTGTTTATAGGAATACCATTCGTCGTTACACCCATCCTCACCCACCCGGAGGGGAAACCAGGCGACATTCTCTGCAAGCTGTTCACTGGTGGTAACGTGGGATGGGTGGGTGCGCTGGCTTCTGTTTTCACTCTGGTGGCTGTCGCAATTGAGCGGTACGGCGCTGTGTTATATCCTCACAGCCAGAAAGGAAAACTAACAAGAACCAGGTTAACAGTCCTTATTGCCACTTGCTGGACGCTTTCTGCTTTGTGGGCTATCCCAGGGTTCAACGCGATCACGTATATGCCGGAAATAAAAAGTTGTGCGCACAGCTGGTCGAAGCCAATCTATGCGCAGTTTTACACGGTTGGGTGGTCTGTGGTCGCCGGTGTCATTCCTATAGGAATATTGGGAGCGCTTTACTCAAGAATGGTGTACCACCTGTGGCTTAGAAAGGACAACATTAGAGAAGCGACTCAGAAGGCTTTGAAACGCCACCGGAAACGCGTCACAAAGATGGTTGTTGTTGTGACAGTTATTTACGTTTTGTGCTGGGTTCCTGAACTGTTAATATACTTTCTGGGTTTTACGGGCACCATTACTCTTGTAGGAGTCCATCACGCGATTGCTTCAGCCTTGATCGTGTTCAACTCCAGCGTGAACCCGATTGTGTACAGCTTACAGAGCAGTCAGTTTAGGAAACACTTGACTGATTTGATCTTCTGTAAGCGTAACAGGGTGGCACCTATGAGTTCTACTGCCACGGCAAGCACAGGAAAACGACAAGGTTTGGAGATGGAAGGCGAAACAAACATGACAGTACATCCAAGTCAAGACGTAGAGTCAGTGACAGTGACGTAGAAAATGTTCATATGAACATTGTAGCCCTAAGGAACAGGGAGACCAGGATGAGCACTGTTCAAATTGGGAATCTTGTGCTCAGTCAAAGAAGGAAAGATGAGGTTGAGCGGAGAAAATGATTGAGTCGCCTTCAGTACATTGCCCAGGACAAAAGAGCGTACTTTATATCATATTTGCTTTAATATTACAGACTCACACTTTCCTCATAAGTATTCATTCCTTCGGTGTGAAGATGTTTGTTCTCTTGGGGGGGGGGGGGGGGGGGGGGGGGGGGGGGGG